AGTTATTGTAACGTCCTACACAAATGGGACAATAAACAAATCTAGTTAAAGCAAATATAAAAAAATCACAAACACACAAACCATAATTACGATAAGTCTCATCAGCGGGGTCCTCTCTAATTAATTAAGTACGTCAGATGCAGACAAACACATCATCACTCACATCACGAAGAGAAGAGACACAGTTAACAGACATGATGCTACAATGTCATGAAAATATTTCCACAAACAAAGGATTATTATAAAGAGAGATAGAGAGCATGTTTATTAATGTACGTTTCTAGTAAAAATAATCGTTTTCCATTAATGTTATTAAGCAATAATTAACGATTAGTTATAAAAATTGGAAAATTTTAAATGTGAAGAATTCATTAGAAACTAACAGCGAATATCAAGAGTAAATTCAATTTCAGGGAATGAATTTTCCTTTATATTTATATATTTTACAAAATTTTGAAATATATTAAGAGCAAAAATATTTCATACAAAATTAATTTTTAATTCAATTATATATTATTTATATTTAAAAAATAAATTATTAAAAAATACGCAAAGAAAAGGAAGAGGAGGAAGGAAAAGAAAAAATTTTAATAAAAATCTTTATATATGAAATTTTTAAATGAATATATTATTTTTAAAAGAAGAAAATATTTTTTAAAATGTTAAAATTTCAAGAAAATTCATAACTAAAATACAAACTTTCATCTTCCTTATTGATATTTACAAAGAGAGAGATAATTAAATGAAAACTATACTAAATTTTTTTAAATTTAAAAATTATTTTAAAAGTTAAATAAGAAAAAATAACGTTGTTGAGTTTATTATAAAAATTAAGATAAATAAAATAAATCCGTAAATTGTTTTAACTTATAAGAATAACATTTTAAATGAAATAATCAGATTATTTAATTAAAATCAAGTGAATTTTTTAAATGATTAATGAATTGTTTGTAATAAAATTTAAAGCAATGTTTATTTATAAATATCACTGAGTAAAAATTAGAAAGGAAAAGTGGAAAGAATTAGAAATAATCCCAATGGAATAAAAGCACATTTGTCTTTTTTTTCCTAATTTTTTTTAGAAAAAGACGATTTGTATAAAAAATTTCCTATATAAGAAAAGACTTTTTGTTACTTTATATAGGCAATCTCATTTGCATGATCATTTATTTACATCACTTCCAATGTAATTCAAAACTGCTGAGATACACAAAATTTTCTAATATCTACACTTAGCTAATAGTTGTCACATTAATTCAAAGGAAACAAAATTTTTTCCCCTTTCTCTTCTGTTGTAAACTTATATTTTATGTAAGATTAGAATAAATACGAGTACATTTGACAAGAATTAGATATTATTAAAATTAACGTGCATAATTAATTGTAACAATTTTTGCTTAATTTGTTATAATTAAGAATTAGAATATTTAAAGATAGTGTATCGAATTTACATTTGGCATGTATTCAGATATGCAATAAGTTTGTTAGTTATATTAATCTTTTCTTCTTCAGTAATTTTACTTATATTTAATGAGGTTAATAACCTTTAAATGATAATATAAGACGGTTTCAAATATTTAGAATAGACTTAAAATTGTTTTCATGTCAGAGAATTTAAACCTTTTTCTTTATNTTAACTAATGATGTCAGTAATTTATCCAGATTAAAACTCATCATAAGTTATTGTAACGTCCTACACAAATGGGACAATAAACAAATCTAGTTAAAGCAAATATAAAAAAATCACAAACACACAAACCATAATTACGATAAGTCTCATCAGCGGGGTCCTCTCTAATTAATTAAGTACGTCAGATGCAGACAAACACATCATCACTCACATCACGAAGAGAAGAGACACAGTTAACAGACATGATGCTACAATGTCATGAAAATATTTCCACAAACAAAGGATTATTATAAAGAGAGATAGAGAGCATGTTTATTAATGTACGTTTCTAGTAAAAATAATCGTTTTCCATTAATGTTATTAAGCAATAATTAACGATTAGTTATAAAAATTGGAAAATTTTAAATGTGAAGAATTCATTAGAAACTAACAGCGAATATCAAGAGTAAATTCAATTTCAGGGAATGAATTTTCCTTTATATTTATATATTTTACAAAATTTTGAAATATATTAAGAGCAAAAATATTTCATACAAAATTAATTTTTAATTCAATTATATATTATTTATATTTAAAAAATAAATTATTAAAAAATACGCAAAGAAAAGGAAGAGGAGGAAGGAAAAGAAAAAATTTTAATAAAAATCTTTATATATGAAATTTTTAAATGAATATATTATTTTTAAAAGAAGAAAATATTTTTTAAAATGTTAAAATTTCAAGAAAATTCATAACTAAAATACAAACTTTCATCTTCCTTATTGATATTTACAAAGAGAGAGATAATTAAATGAAAACTATACTAAATTTTTTTAAATTTAAAAATTATTTTAAAAGTTAAATAAGAAAAAATAACGTTGTTGAGTTTATTATAAAAATTAAGATAAATAAAATAAATCCGTAAATTGTTTTAACTTATAAGAATAACATTTTAAATGAAATAATCAGATTATTTAATTAAAATCAAGTGAATTTTTTAAATGATTAATGAATTGTTTGTAATAAAATTTAAAGCAATGTTTATTTATAAATATCACTGAGTAAAAATTAGAAAGGAAAAGTGGAAAGAATTAGAAATAATCCCAATGGAATAAAAGCACATTTGTCTTTTTTTTCCTAATTTTTTTTAGAAAAAGACGATTTGTATAAAAAATTTCCTATATAAGAAAAGACTTTTTGTTACTTTATATAGGCAATCTCATTTGCATGATCATTTATTTACATCACTTCCAATGTAATTCAAAACTGCTGAGATACACAAAATTTTCTAATATCTACACTTAGCTAATAGTTGTCACATTAATTCAAAGGAAACAAAATTTTTTCCCCTTTCTCTTCTGTTGTAAACTTATATTTTATGTAAGATTAGAATAAATACGAGTACATTTGACAAGAATTAGATATTATTAAAATTAACGTGCATAATTAATTGTAACAATTTTTGCTTAATTTGTTATAATTAAGAATTAGAATATTTAAAGATAGTGTATCGAATTTACATTTGGCATGTATTCAGATATGCAATAAGTTTGTTAGTTATATTAATCTTTTCTTCTTCAGTAATTTTACTTATATTTAATGAGGTTAATAACCTTTAAATGATAATATAAGACGGTTTCAAATATTTAGAATAGACTTAAAATTGTTTTCATGNCAAGTGAATTTTTTAAATGATTAATGAATTGTTTGTAATAAAATTTAAAGCAATGTTTATTTATAAATATCACTGAGTAAAAATTAGAAAGGAAAAGTGGAAAGAATTAGAAATAATCCCAATGGAATAAAAGCACATTTGTCTTTTTTTTCCTAATTTTTTTTAGAAAAAGACGATTTGTATAAAAAATTTCCTATATAAGAAAAGACTTTTTGTTACTTTATATAGGCAATCTCATTTGCATGATCATTTATTTACATCACTTCCAATGTAATTCAAAACTGCTGAGATACACAAAATTTTCTAATATCTACACTTAGCTAATAGTTGTCACATTAATTCAAAGGAAACAAAATTTTTTCCCCTTTCTCTTCTGTTGTAAACTTATATTTTATGTAAGATTAGAATAAATACGAGTACATTTGACAAGAATTAGATATTATTAAAATTAACGTGCATAATTAATTGTAACAATTTTTGCTTAATTTGTTATAATTAAGAATTAGAATATTTAAAGATAGTGTATCGAATTTACATTTGGCATGTATTCAGATATGCAATAAGTTTGTTAGTTATATTAATCTTTTCTTCTTCAGTAATTTTACTTATATTTAATGAGGTTAATAACCTTTAAATGATAATATAAGACGGTTTCAAATATTTAGAATAGACTTAAAATTGTTTTCATGTCAGAGAATTTAAACCTTTTTCTTTATTAATTTTTTATTGGTATTTTATTGTAGTTATTTGAAGTTAATGTATAAATTTATCAACTGTAAAATTTTTATTTTTTATTTATTTTTGATAAAAATAGTTTTCTTTTCTAAAGAAATATAAACATCACTTCAACACAATGGAGGAGCAAAGTCTCAGGTGCCAGTAAAAGTTTTATATACAGTCTCAATCTGTTGTTGTGATAAATTCCTGAAAGTTTTAACATGGATTTATCGATTTTAAAGAAAGTTCAAAAGGCTAAAAGCCCAAGAAAACTTATGTTTGTTAATTTTATGTTGAATGAAAGGAACGAAGGAAATTTATCCTTTTATTTCTTACATCCGAGAAACGTTTTATTTTGAAAATCATAAATAATTTTATTTTGTATTAACTTTAGATTTATATTTAAAAAATAATGATTTTTAGTGATTCTAAACTGATTTCTAGAGTTATAAATAATCATTTAAAGATTTTGTACGTATCTAAATGTAATAAGAATCGATCATCATTTCTCAATTTAAATCAAATATAATGTTTATTAGCGGGTTAGGAACTAGAAATTGAGGTAGTAAAATCAATAAAAATCAAGAGAGAAAGGCTGAAAAACCATTTCCACGACCTCCAGAACAAAAGTTAATAGTTGCATTTTATTTAAACTAGTTATAAAATTTAAAAGCATGCTTTTAGTGAAGTCTGTAACTGCTTTTTTAATGGCTGATAAATATTATACAAATATAAAAGTAAGAAAGTAAACAACCTTGTCATCATTTTCTACTAAATGCACTTCTCAACTATAAAAATGAAAAGATGTTTCTTTATTATTGTTTGGGATTTTGAGAATCTGTGGCGATTCCCACAAAGAAAGATGCAACAAGACTTTCATTTTCTTTCACAAAGATGTTACATTTAACAACATCAACAAAGTTATGAAAGTAAATTTATATTTATTATTACAGTTTTACTAAATAATCTTATTTATAAAATAATTTTCACCTAACTTACTTTAAAATTTCTTTCCAAATGATTGAAATGATGTTATTGGCAATATCCATCTTCCAGAATGAGCACATTTTTCTGATATGACAAAAAATTTTTCTTCATTGGTTACATTTTCAGTTATCAAATAGTTCAATCTAAAAAAATAATGAAAAATAAATTAAATATTTATTTATTAAAATTAACATTTTAAACATAACATTCATAAAAATAGATAAAACAGAAATTTTAAAATGTATTTTATTTGCATAAATTATATTACATCGCAAGTTAGCGATTATTTTTAATAAAATAATCAAAGTTTGAAAAGAAAATTTTACTAATTAGTGTCTTTAAAGTATTATAATTATCAACAAACTTAGAATTCTCATTAGTATTTTTATTAATTATCCAAAAATTCATAATTTAAGAAAGGAAAGAATTTAACTGAAAAATTATTTCATTTCAATCTCAGTGTGAAAATTTTAATGAGAAGTTTATGTTGTCATTTTATCAGATTTCATTTACTTGTTTGCACGTATAATATAAAAAACAGTTGGCATTATCTCAAAACAAGCCAGAGAGGATTAGAATGCAGTAAAGTTTTAATTATCCCTTTTCCTTGTACGGACTGTATTCACAAGAAAAAATGAAAAAAAATTCTTTACTGAGTATAATTGATTTCTGTTGACTGAAGCACAGAGAAGGGATAAGTTGGGAGTTAATTAGGGTTTTCAGTGTACTTCACCATTGCCAAACTATCTGATAAGCTACACATTAAGTTAAGAATATAAAAGAAAGTCTACGGGAGATAAAGCAGTGAGTTTTTTATAAGTTAACGAAATTTTTTTACAAAAAAATTAAATGTCAACTTACATAATTATCGTCATCCGTTGACACTATGATGATTTAAAAGTGTAATAGATCACGTGATTAGTAGCAGGATCTGCACAGCTCGATCGAATAATGAGCAACAAACATTTCGTGAAGTTGCTGAACTTGCACTGAAATGATTTAACCCCACACTGGGAAAATTGTCTTGCGATTCTGCCGTCGACAAGCTCGCTACTGCCGCAGACCGTGACCGAGCGAGGCCCACCAACCATGGTATCGACCAATCTTTAGCAAAGGGGAGGAAGGTATGCCGAAATCTGTCGTTCGGCTATTAACGGTTATTCTGAGCGGATAAAATGCGATAAATGATCATTTGACCAATCCAAATAAAAGCGAAAATCATTTTAATTAAAAAAACATTAATTTTCAACTTTTAATTTTTAATTAAGGAAAAAATTCTCTTTTGTTTACTTTATTGATTTTAATTTTCAATTATAAAAATAACCACCAAACATAACGAGAATAAACATTTTTTTAAAAAGAGTTATTTTAATCTTTCGCCTGTAAATGCATCTTTTCCTTATTATTCCGTGTCGTGCAGAGAAGTCTCCATACAGTAAGCGCTACTAAAGTTTAGAAGTAATTTCTATTTTTTAATTTCAAAAGTTTGTTTTATAATAATATTGAAAGAAAAGGCCCTGGATTAAAATTAAAACTAAATTAAAAAACATAGTAATTTAAATATTTAAAAAATTTAATTTAATTTCTAGAACAGGATCAAGCCAATGCTAATGTCATTCTAAGTTATAATCTGTTGCTGTGTCTTCTGCTAATTTCATTTCCATATTCTTACTTCTAATTAAACATTGTAACAGCAATTATACTTTGCTTGTTTTATACCAAATTACAATCGAAAATTACGTGGCTTTCTTAAGATTTTTCATTACTAGTTAAATGTGTTCTTTGCATTATTCATTACAAAATGTCCGATTTAAATAATACTGCCATTTTCCACTTGCTTAATTTGTCCAGTTTTAATACAGTTTGGTATATTAAATTATAAATTATATATATCATTGTATAAAATAAATCTCAGAACAATAAATTTTATTGTAGAAAACAATTTAAAATATTATCTATTATATTTAATTAACATTTTCCTTCTGTTTGAAATTTAAATATATATATATATCTTGCAATAATAAAGAAATAAATTTTATTGATCAGATTTTTACATCTCTTTAACTTATGTTTAGATTTAAAAATATATTTCTCCTTATAATAATAACAAATATTTAATCTAACAGTAACAATCATATTAAAATTTAGCATTTTTTAAAATGTAAATGTATATGCATATATATTTATTCCGTTTTTACTTCGACTCAAGTTTTCTAATCTACATAACACTCCAACCGCTTCATCTGTTGTCATGGAAACTTATGATGAAAATCATGTAAAGTAAATGATAAGTTTTCTTTCCTCACTTCGATGCAATTATGAGAGGATGGTAGTCGAGTTTTCTTTGGTAGCAGCAAAGTTTTCTTGTAATAAAGATCATTAATCTGAAGGACCATCGGAAGGGATGCGCCTCTCCCAATGGCATATTACTTTGTACAGGTGACGTGATAGGTACAGTGACGTAAAAATGAATGCCGAAACGATAGTGTAATCAGAAAAACATGTTTGAAAAAGGGGAAAATGCGTTTTTACAGCAAGAAATGCCACTTTTATGATGACTAATACAGTTTTTTTTTTGCTTAGACGAAAAGTGATAAAAATGGTTTATAGTTTTGGTTAATAAAAAATATTTTTCTTGATTGAAAATTAAATAATGTCTCTTCATATATTCAATAATATTAAAATACATAACATAACAATAAATATTTTTTCTAGACGAACTGGAGGATAGTTATAATATAGAGAGAGGACCAATTTGTGTTATTTTTTGATGACGTAAAGTATTGTAAGGTTCTCTATAATGTGACGTCGAAGTGTTTTTTTTATCTTTTAAAGGTATCATTTCGCATTCCGTGACTTAATGGTGATCCTTTCTCTCAATGATGGCGCGATGGTAAGGAAGAAGTGACGTTAAGAGTAATGGAGATCTTATATGATATAACAGGAAATGAAAACCCTTATGACACAATATATAGTTTTTTAATATATTTTTTTATCAGTAGTGATGTAATAAGATTGAAAACGTCCAGTGACAAAAACAGGTTGTATAGTTTAATTATAGGAATTTTTTACCTTAAAAGAAAATGTTTTTTTCCCCTTTTCTGCTCCATGATCTTGTTCTTGAAGCTTCAAAACAAAATAGGAAACGTAATTTCGTGGCTACTTAACGAGATGTTCGGAGAAAATAGAGTGAGTGAACACTGAGTAAATATCTTGAGGGAGGAAAACTCATTTATTAATGGCGGAATGCCTTAAAGAATAAAACAATCTGAAAATTGATAATTTTGCATGCATATGCAGAATTTATAAGAATTAAAGCACGCCATCTGTTATGAAACTTTGTAACTTCGTTCCTGATCTTCACTAACTCGATTGAAACGAATTGTATAAGGGTAACTTTTTTCGTTATAAAAAATTGTAAACTGCTCTTTCGAGAAGGAGAAAAAATTAAAAAAATAATAATAAAGGATAGAAGTCGTATAAAAGGAAACATTAAGGGAAGTAACCGCTGAGCTGTCTTAATTTCCTGTCTTGCTGACTTCTCAGAAGTCTTCCTTTTTTATTATTTAATAATCAACCAGCAATTTCCTTTCATCACCGGCATCTAGTTATTGGCAATTGAACCAAGAGTAGTTAATCATTTTTGAGAAATTAAATGCTCAATTTTTCTTATTTTTTAATCTAGATGATAACTTATAATATTTTCAAGATTTCAAAATAAAATTTTTCAATTTATTTTCTATTTTTATATACATATTTATTTATTTATTATTAGTCAATTTAATTAATATATTTATAATNAAATAAATTAATTTTTTTCTTGTTAGATAAAGTTTAATTATTTTGAGAATTATATCGTTACTCTCCAACCTTTATATATAATAAATACTGTGACATTATCAAGTAATGTAAGTCGAGACTTTTCGGAAATCGCTAACTACAGGTTGAGAAATAAAAATTGGCAAGATTTCTAATTATATTTTTGTAAATTTGCTCTGAGTTATAATTTTATATCTTTTGATGTTTTGGTTATTGCGTAAAGTTGCTTACTTGTTAAAATAATGAAGGGTTATAATTAAACTTATCAGGATCATTTCAATTAACCACAAAGTGATAGTTAATGCGACAATTTAATCTATAGAAGGTTTCTTTTTCTGTATAAACTGACGTAATGACTTCCGCTTTGATTTCCATTAATGTATGAATAGGAGAAAGATCAGTATTATCGGTGACGTAACGACCAGTATCGTTTTGATCTGGCCTGACACGATGGCAACTGCTATCTCGCTTGATGAAAACATAATCGCGGAGGAAACGGGGTTGTTCCTACTGATCAGAGGTAGTGAACATCGGTGATTCGACCGGATGACGTAATGAAAGTGTGATAATATAGGGATGATGATGTTGGAAGTGACGTAATAGTGTATTATCATTTTGTTTCCAATAACTAATTGTCAAAACGATGCTGGAACCATTCACTCTTAGATGAATAGGATAAAATTACCAGTAATCTTCACAAATTTATGAATGAAAACTGTTTGTTTTAAGCTCTCTTGACACTTTTAACAGCATCGAATAATTAAAATTGCTATTCTGTAGCAAAGTAACAAAGTCTAGAATTAACCTGTGATGTAATAATTAAAGTTATATTATCTGTGAAATGGAAAGTTTCTCAATTCTTTATCACTCTTTAAACATAAATGAATGGAAAATGGTTATCATTAAAAATCCTTAATTAATTATTACAGCAACTGCTGAAAGAATTGGAGCTTAATAATTATTCTCTAAATTACGCTTAGCATATAAAAATGTTAAGTCATTCGATTAACTATACAATATTAAATAAATTTAATGCAAATTTTGATGATTTCCTATGAATTTAAGAGTTTATTTTTTGTTATTTTCTTAAATATGGAACTTAGAATTAATATTTTAAAGTTTTGATAATGCTGCTTTAGATACAAGAGGATTTTACCTTCTAGTAAATTAATGATTTATTGATTATATAGCATTATAGAAAATCTTAATGAATTAGTAATGCATGAATTATGAATTAAACATTATTCAGCTATATAATTAATGCTCATTCACTAATATATATCTGTATGCAAAGCTAAACTTGTCTAATCTTTAATATTATGCTGTTAAATTAACATTACATGGCCTTAAAATAGGAGCAAGAGTTTAAAATAACGTTTTGAGAGAAAAAACCTCATCCAGATGTTCCTCAGCCACTAGTTACCATAGAAAAATACAGATTAATTTAAAAAATGAACATCGAGGAGAAATATAATGCATTAATTTTATTTTAAGTTGAAACAACATTAATTTGTTATTTTCGTGTTTGTTATTTTCAAAAATAAATAAAGTAAGTAATTACTTCTTTAAAAATTCAAAGAAAATATAAAGAGAAAAGTATGCTTAAAATGCAGTAATAAAGAATTCTTTAAAGTAATAATAATTACTTTTAAAATCCAATATAAAAGTTTTGTAAATTTGATTAGATCAGAAATTTAAAAAAAATTATTTATCTTGGTCACATTTTAATTATTTGCAGTCGTCTTGTTTGAGATTGAAAAAGATAGAAATAAGATGTTTCTTGTAGTTTTTATGGCTCTTTTAAAGCTTTAGATAGCGGCACTTTGTCTATCTTTTCAGTTTTTGAGAGATTACTTAGATATTCGCTTTTAGAAGATCTAAAAATAATAATATCAAAGCGTTAAATATATTCTAAGAGATCATTGAATGAAATCTAAGAGATCCATTCAATAATTATGAGAGATATAATTGAATTATTCTATCAAATGAAATTTTTATCACTTTTAGAAGGAGAAGATAACAGATTCCAGAGGGATTTTAAGTCATATTTAAAATTTTAGCTTATAATTGATCTGATATCATATTGTGACATCTTAATAGAGCTTAAGAACGTATTCTTTCCTTCGGGTTATCATCTCGAAAATCAAGTCAATTGAAAACTATCTACTATTGTCTTTTAAGAACCTAATTATTTCTATATGACCAGTTTAGAAATACTAAAAGACCCGAGGCTTTAATAAAGAGATCTTGAATAAATTCTAAAATATCAAATGAATAAACTAAAGCTTTGTACTAAAAATTACATTTCTATCAAGTTTTGTATTTAATTTAAAA